AAAATAGTCCGAGCGGGCGACACCGCGCGAGTAAAGTAATTAATTCTACAAAGTACCGATTTGGACGGCGCAGAGAATCATTTGCAAATTATAGCGTCTCGGCAATAAAGTATGACTTACACCGTGTAAGTCATACGAAATAAATAAATTGATTCGGGAGTGGAAATTATGACGATATACGCGCAGATATAACGTATAGAAGCAGTAATGGCGAATAAAAATATACGAAACGCTCAAAAGCACTGGTGTAAGGGAGGTAGTGGGTGATTTTTCCTCTTCACAAAACTGCAATAAATGTATAGAAGTGTAGAACTATAATATTATGTGTGTAATCGAAAACTTTATGCTCGCCGTAAAAAAAAATAAAAAAAATATCCAATTGAAGGCTGTCGCAGTTAAAATATATAACTCCAGGAATCGTTACTAGTTTTACGTGTATTCGATTAAAAAAAAAAGGGACATATTTTTACTATCCCAGAAAGAAGCAGATTTCGCATGCGTTCACTCGAGTTCTACCGACTTTACACGATTGAACTTCCCGATCTCAATTATTACCCACTGTGCGCTCTTGTGATATTATAATTTTAAGTGGTTTTTTTTATTTAGTACTTAATGTATGAGAGGGTGTTATGTGTGTGGAAATTGCACTTTTGAATAATACATAGTAAATTCAAGTAGAAAACGCTCACGTATAACAACGCATCGCCGAATGAATATTTTTATTTCGCTTTCCTGATCAATTGACCACGAAATCCTCTGGATTCGTTTGTTTTTTTTATGAGTTTCCAATGGGACTTTTTTAAATCTTCGAGGCTTTGATTGTGTACTAACACGTTGATGGCATATATAAAACTTATCTCTATATGGCGATTTATATAAAAATTCTAAGTACGAACACGAAGTCACGCACGTATAATATCAAATAGTTCGTTTCCCAAGTATCATAGTACTATATATATTATTATAATAACACGAATCATTGAATTTTAATTTTTTTTTCTCTTCGGGAAAAACGTACTTTTCTAAATTCTGTGTGTCTTTGTGTTTTATGGCATTTTATAAAATAATAGATGTACATTTTATAAGCACGAAAAATAAAATTTAAGGATTTGTACATAATAAAGTTATCTGCTTTTTGTTTTTATATTATTTTCATAATTAGTTTGTATATTTTATGAAATCTGCGTTACCTATGTATACCATACATATATATTTATTTATAATAATGCATTTTTATAGAAATAACAACTCGTATTTCCGATAGTATATAAACTACAATAATATACTACTTAATATTATATTCATATACCTATACTACACTGTTTTTAAAATATTTGAATAGTTTAAATTTTAAATAATATTTGGAAACCTTTTATATTTTCCAAAATTTATATTAATTATTATTAATATCGATTAGTAAATATTTAATAATAATAATCATAATAAATTATATTATTATTTATTTTATATAATTAGAATAGGATAGATAACTATAAAAAAAAAAAGATGGGACATTTTAAACAAGCCATTCAAGTCTACTAATTTTATCCTCGAATTACTAAAAACTTAACATGTTATGGATCTTAAATTTTCAATCATGTCGTTTATCATCCAAACTATATGCAGTTTGTCCGAGAAAAGCGACCGTTTATGTATAAGTATACGTTTATGTATATGTGTTTTAGCAACGATTTGTCAAACCATCTAAGGGGTGGCTGTCAAGAGAGCTCAGCTTTATTGTTTCCTTTCTCGCGATTCTTGCGATTTCTCACGCCACTGGTGCAGTCGACCGACGGATGTGTAGTGTCGGAAATGTTCACATAATCTATCGTTGAACAATATTATAATTATTACAATCATTGTAAATAAATCACGTGAAAAATGTATATTTAGGAACAATTCATTATTTTCAAATATTTGACCAAGTAAATGCAATGAGTAGTTTTATAAAATTGACAAGCCTATAAATAGATTTAATAAAATCACCTTATCCAACAGCGGCGGTGGGTGCGAAATTGCATTCATTTGTACTCGTGAACGTCACGCTTAACAATAGTGTATTTGAAGTAGAAAAGTACAAACACTCATCGATAAAATATGACAATTTGTCTGAACTTATGGTTACCAGCTGTTCGCACACTCAACATCACGAAATTCATCGGTATCTTGCAAAATACATCTGATGTATTGCATTATAATATTTGACAATACAATATATGAGACAATTATGAATACATAAAATACAATTCTACAGTACCTATAACTAGTGTGCAATTTAAAATGTTTTAAACAATTTTGTTTTTTTTTTTTAAATAAGTTTTATATTTACATAAAATTGTCATACATTACCTTTATAATTTTACTATAACCTTTTGTTAATTTATGTTTTTCTCTCTAATACTTAACTACTGACCTATAATAATATAAATATATATATATAAATACCTAACCTTTGATCTAATACATTTAAAATGGTATTCAAAATCTTTAAAAATCTATAAATGTTCAAATATACAATATTTCACATATTATATACTATAGTAATATGTCAACCATAGCACTCATAAATTCCATTAATATCAATGATTATATCTAGTACTCTAGGACTATAAAATATTAATAATTGATAAACAATAAAATAACCACAATTAATATTTTGTAAAAATTTCAATGTTTCGCGTTTTTGTGAAATATTTTATACTTCAAACACGACCTATAAATATACATTATGACTGTTGATGACTTGGATACTGATCATACATATCGCATTATTATAATGTGCATGAACTTTCTGTATCAGAAAAACTATGAGATTCAACCTAAAAGATCAATAGGTATTTCAGAAGTTACAGCTAGAAAACTCTTTTTAAGTATCTCCTCGAACATGTTATAAATGTAATAGCATGATAAAACAACAAAAGATTTTAATTATTTTGTAATAATGTTGTACCTATACCTATCTAATATTTTCCGCAATACGACAGTTATTATTCGAGATTATTTTTACAAGAGTGGCATTATTATACACTATAATAAGTCACGATATACTATAATTTTGAAAGATTGCAAAAGTGCGGATGATAGAAAATTTAAATTTAAGAAAAGTTCACAACAATTTTATAGATAATAAATAATTTATTTTTATTATTAAAAATATATTATAATGCAACGTAAATGGAATTTATGTTTTCAAGCTTTGAATTATTACGTGTCATCAAAATTAAATTACATTTTTTTTGTTAGGTTTGGGTTGGTCGATTTGTTTAACTAATAAATGTATACTTATTCTTCATTAATATCATCACCTATGAACAAAAAAATTTAAAACTCAATAAAATATGATCTATCTGCTTCAATGATAATTAGATATTATTTTACTTTTTAAGATGTTACACAGAGAGTTAAATATAAAGGCATTTAAAATATTATTCTAAATAAAATTACTCAACATTTTAGAACATTTTAAAAATTGTCAAATTTTTGTTGTAAACAAAAACAGTTCATAGACTAACATCATTATTTAAGTCTTACATTTTTAATTATCAGAATTCATTTACCATATTTCAAGAGGTCGCAATAAATCTAGTAAGAACGATAGGTATCTACAATTGTAATAGTTATTTCTTAATATTATTTTTGTTTTGTATTATACATAGGAGTGTTATGGGGCAGTTAATTTTTTTTTTTGTTATTAAAAGATAGTGGAAAAAACGAAATCGAAACCGATATAATCTCAAAATGTTAAACAAAATAGAAAAATTACATGCACTTATATTTGTTTTGTTTTATTTTTCTCTACCGAAAAGTCAATAACAATTTAGTTGCTTCTCAAACAGGACAAATAAACTGTGGTGTTTTAAAAATAAATGCACTTTATTAGTTTAAGAGTTTAAAAAGACACACGAAAATCTTCTGCCGTACAAACAAAGTCCCATCAAAATCTCGAAGGAGTACCTAATATAAATATTCGTTCTCACGACCGAATTTCTGGGTTCTTTATTTTTCATGCAGATTTCCCTCTATAATTTTACAACCTACTTATACCATTCCTCGGTATTCTGTCAGTATACCCGCATTACCCTTCACAGTGTACATGATATAGGTACACTTTCGGTAGAGCATTGGTAAATTCAGTGCTTAAGTAGGTATGTATAATATTATAATATTATATATACTGTCATATTGAAGTTATCATAATACTGTGGAGTTCTCATGTCTTTCAGCATAATTTTAAAATTATTCTGATAATATGTGCATAATATAATATAAAATATATAATAAATAATACAGACCTACATGCTATTAACATAATATACATGTATTAATTTTACAATTTTTAACTAGGTATAAAATGTTTATTAAAATTAAGTAAGTATAGCTTACTATTCGAGTTGTTGTAAGTATATAAATATATTAGGTATATGTATATTATACATTATTCAGCGGCTACTCTATAGATTGAAAATCAAACGCAGACAGTACCTATAATTACAAAAATAAAGGTATACACATGGGCTGTCATATGTGGATATTTTAATATTTAATAGATGTTTTTCTAAGAAATTAGTTTAATTACCTACAAATTATTACAGTTTTCTTTGGTCGTATTTCAAATGCAAAGATTTTTTTTCATCGTTTTTAAAAGTTTCAAATAACATGATATATTCAGAGACACCTGCAGCTGCCTCTCACTGCTGCTGTGGCCTGTTTTTTTCCTTCCCCGCCGAGTCCACCGCCGAATAAACTGTTATTTATTATTACGTGTAAGATAGATGTTTATATATGAAATATTTAAGTCCGCTGCGTATATACCGTATACTATACACTCCGAAGTGTCTCGAATATACCACGTAAAATAATATTTTGTCATGGGTTTACGCGGACACGCGAAAATTCAAGGTGGTAGGGTGTGCGCGGTGTATGGGTGGTGATTTTTTTACTCTTTACTGTTACTTTTTTTTTTAATATCAAACAATGCGTGTGTATAATACGTGTTGCAGGCGACAACAATGGGCGGCCGGCTTTGAGCAAAAAGCATAAAAACGGATCTACCAGCGTCCATCCTGCGCTTGGTGTGACGGCCGCAGTTTGGATAATAATAACACAAAGGATCTTTTCGTTATGAATTCGTACATTACACGACGCATAGCTACCACAACCGGGGCGAAAAGGCACAGTGGAGCGGGCGTGTGCGACACCACTGTTCTGCAGCATGCCGTGAGAATGAAAGAAAACCAGGGGTTGAAAAAAGGCCCTTTTTCGTTTGTACAAAATATGTATTTTAATGTTTTATTATAATATTATGATGTGTTATGTTGTGTGAAACGTGTATTACGGTTTTTTTTATTATTATTATTATTATCACTGTAATTTTTACTTTTTTTCGTGAGCCTATGTCGTAGACGTCAATTTAAATAAAAATATGTGTATGACATAACTATTACCTATATATAATGTATGGATATATTGTATTGTGTATAGGTACGTGCGTTTAATGTGTGTTTCAAGTCCAAGATTTTTTATTATTTTCCGTAAGGGGCATGTCCCAATATTATAAGGACAAAACGTTTGGCGCTAATGGTGCTCTCTGGAATAAAATATAATTTCCGCCCCAGGGGAGTGAAGGGTTGTGGCTCGTTTGCGATCTTCGGTGCCTCTCGACGTATGTATCCAAGTACACGGTGCGGATGCCTCAGGTGGGGTGTGATCGTAAAAGTGTCCCCCGGGAAAATTGGGTGGGGGTGGGGGATCACCGGGAAATAAAGATAAAAAAAAAGGTAAAAACGAAAGAACCGGAAATAGCAATCGTTACATTTTTTTCTTCACTACCCCTCCGTAACGTGCACTCAGTCTTTCATCCGTTAAGAACAGTCTTTTACGAGCATACATTTTTTGCCGTGTCGAAAACATTGTTAACGATAGGTATAGGTACCTCCTAGTGGAAAATATTGACTCAAAGGCTGTTCGCTAACACGTATTATTCGTCTACTCTCAAGTAACTATTCTCTTGTATTGCATATTATATCCGGAATAAAATAAGCAAAAGATGACTTTCGTCTCAAAATCGTTTTTTGTTGTTATTTGTTTTATTTATACCTATACGAGATATCACGTATAACTTTTTTTCTCTGAGAGTTACACCTTATGATATGGATATAAATCTCCACGACGAATAGAAAAGCATAATGATAAAATAAATATTTTTATAATATCGTGGAAAACATTTATGAATGAATTAAAAATCTTTTTTTACCGGGCGTGATGTTTACCTGTTGGACATTAACGTGTTTTATTAGTACTATTTGCATATTGATTTTATTTTTATTGTTAATCGTAGCTCCCTTTTTTGTAATTATTAACTAGTTATAAAAATTGTCCCCATATAAAAATATTGTATAATATAATCTAATATTCTACTTTTGCTCAATCGAATTTACGATTTTTTTTTTTTAAAAACGGTGTTTATTAAATTTAATGTTTTTTTTTAGAGGATATCAATTAAACTTTTATTTTATAATTACTGATTTTTACTGATCCTTGTTGAAGGTCATCATTTACATTTTGGGATAAAATACAAGGTGTATATTTTCAGTTTTGTATCTAATATACCTTACAATGTTGTTTTACATAAATTCAAAATGATAAATATTCGAAAATAAAATTATAATAAAACTATATTACGGGAACACATCGTTAGTTTATTTTATGTGTAGGTATCTATTGATAAATATTAAAATAATATAATGAACAATTGTTTGTTTTAAAAACAACCCCATTAAATAATATTTGAATGGGGTTATAATACATAAATAAATAAAAATAAACAAAAACTATTTCAGTTAATTTTCGTGTGAAATACTTATAGTATAAAATATGTAATCAGTTTCTATTTGAGCAATAGATACAACTTAATAGTGCCAAGGCTGGGCAAGTTAATTTTTTTATTTTTAACTGATCAAGTTAAATAAATAGAGACATAATATGTAAGTGAAGTCTTAAGTGAAAGTTGTTTTTTTTTAAAACTAAATAATAACAATATATGCCAAAACACGATAAACAAATTTGATAAAAGTACCATTAACTATTTAGTTCAATATTTGTTTGATTCTTTTTTTTAGAGATCATCGCTCCGGGGTTATGTAGCATTGGTATAGTTAAGAGATTTGACATTTTTTTTTGCACATAATATCTATATAATATTATATATTATACTATACATTCATATGTTTGTACAGAACAAAATATATTTTAAATCTATGGGGAAAAATGAATTAACTGATAACTGATAAGTAACTGCATACCAAGGAAACAAATTTCAATCGTTAGATTAGACATTATAAGTTATACTTTAATAAAATTATCTTATTGTGTAGCTTAGTTAAAAGTAACTTCCCTTAAATTTTATAACTCGTTAATGTCCAGCCTTAAATAATGTAATAAATACAAACAAGTATAAAAAAATATACTGGTCGAGTAATACAGTGATTCTATAAAAAATAACCGCACATATTCTATTATAAATAATTATATTATTACTATCTATAACCGTTTAATATATTAAGTTGTATTTAGTAGATAATAAATATAATAATATTATATATTATAAATTATAATGTATAGGTAATTTTTATTGTGTAATAATATGTGTAAATTATATTTCTGATTTGAAAAATATAGTTTTAAATTGTAATACACAGTATTATACCTATTCTACTTATTATTAGATTTAAGTTTTCATAGTTATGTATGTATAATATTCTATGGTTTTTGTTTTTTACATTTTTTTTATGTTCATGTTTTCTCATACAGTTTAACCCGACAGCTTTAGTTATAACAATGTCATCAACTATATCAATTAGGCCCTCAAATGTTACATACCGTTCTATGTGGAGTTTATTTTAAATTGCAATTGTGATATCGCACCTCTAGGACAAAACTGGTGCAATTGAAAATCATAAATTTCTACTTTTGATTTATGGGTTACATTCGAATGAAAAAAAAATAGCTCTATACTAGAAACATGCGTATGGTCAGTATTAAATTATATAATTTTTAGTTAATTTTCAAAAAAAGAGATCCATATTTAACTTTATGGCCATTTACATATTTTAATGTATCCAATTAATCACTGAAGTCAAAATTCAAGACTGCATTATTTCGATTTGTGGCGATCTTGGGCTGGATAAAAACTAATTATTTTTGTTTGTGATAATGTCGAGTGCAATACATCAATATGTTGAGTTGTGGAGGTATTGTATTTTATGATTTTTGATATTGCAGCTGCAATACAAAAATTGACTATTTTTTATTTATAAATAGGAAGGTTTCACTGTATCATCTCAAAGTACAGCCGATTTGCATTTACTTAAAAAATCGAAAAAGACCATAACTCTAATTTTTTAATTTTGTGAGAGTATTTCATAATTTGAAAAATTCATTTATTGTAAAGTATGTTTGCAAGTATTTAAGTTTTTCGTTCCAAATTTCAAATCGATTTTTCTCAAAACTATATATTTTGAGTTGTGGCAATATGCCAGTATAATTGTTTTAGAGGTGTGATATATCAGCATAATAATTATTATAAGAAACCCGTTGTATGGCTAAGTTCCGTTTTATAAAATTAGCCAGAGTTTAGAGATGCTCAGAAATGTCTAAGTCGATTAAACACACTGCAGATATTGTTTTAAAGGTTTAAAATTCTCCATTTCAAAGACACCAAAACCAAAGAAAAAAACAAACTAGACAATATATGAAATAATAAATAATAATAATTAATATATGAAATTATGGAAAAAAAACATTGACGACATTTTTGATATTTAAAAAATAACTAAAGTTAAGTAGAAAGTACATATTTTAATTTATTGCAAAACTATTTAACTGTTTAACCACATAATATAATAATAATATAATGTTATCAGTATAGAATATGCAGAATTTTGAAATAAAAGTTACAATATGAATTAAAAAATATTATCCAACTCTGTCAAATTCCAAAGTGTTCTAAAATAATATGAATTGAACAGTAAGTTGAATTAAAAGTATATTTATAATTGTATTTAAAACTTTATAGTTTATACCCTAAAATTATAGTTTCACAAATTACAATAACAGTCAATAAAGGGAAAGTCAGTAGCCAGTAGGTACTCTTAATAATAACAATTATTATTACTACCTATATTAAAATAAGGATTTATCATTATTTAGTTGTAAAAACTAACTTAAAACTATTATATTTTTTTGTTTTAAATTTTAATATTATATAATTTGTCCCTTTTTATTTTTCATTTTATTTTTTTTATTAACTACTTATTCAAAATGTACCTATTCCTATATAAATCACGTCATGTAAGCTCAAATTTTTAGTTTCATACTTAAATATGTCTTACATTGTACATAACATATTTGTTATTATTATTATTATTATTATATTAAGGCAATACTGAAAATAATTTAAAACATAATATTATTTATTATTGTAATGATTATTGAATAAATATAGGTATTTTTAAAAAATAACATCCATTGTAGCTGGACGTTTTTAAAGCTGGCTGGTCATGGGCTGCTATTTTCTTCGGGCAAGTCACGGTGTCCTGGGAACATGTGCAGCCATCCCCCACCCGGCATGGCAGATACCTACGGGTGCCCAATCAAAAATTCTGCCAAACCCAACACACACGTGTTCCTCCCCTACCGACATAAAAACCTACAAAACCATACAGCTAATAGCCATAGTCGCCGTGCTTAAGATCAACTATAAAAAAAAATCCGTTAATATGTTTACGAAGCAACAAATTTTTTTAGAAATTGGCTACTTATGTAAATATATATATTTATTATGAACATTCAATATGTACACTGCACAGTGTACATAATAGTATTAATAATATGATGTTGCAATCTGTCAGTCTATATTACTAATTACATTTTATAAAATGATTCCTATTTATGTAAATTATTGAACTATATTAGTAGATAGTAATACAGTAAGTTGAATTCAATTTTCAGAAAACATTACATTTGAAAATGTCATTGAGTGTGTAAAATATAATAATATACTTTAAAAGTTTCAAGTACCCAAGAATAACTTTTTTTTTAATGACATAAACATAACTAAAATCGATA